AACTAAGTAGTACACGTTAGAAAGTTAACAAACTAAGTAGTACACGTTAGAAAGTTAACAAACTAAGTAGTACACGTTAGAAAGTTAACAAACTAAGTAGTACACGTTAGAAAGTTAACAAACTAAAGTAGTACACACCAGAAAAAAAGGAGTAATACAGAAAAAAAAGTCAAAGTAGTTGCATATAAAATGAATAATCACAGAGAAAAAAAAAATTCCATTGATTCATTTAAGAATTGACATACCACTGACAATCACATGAGCACGGCCAGAGTTATTCACTGCATTATCTGGTAACAGTAGTTCGTACTCCGTAGTAAAGATTCTATTGGGATAATCTAGATGGTATAAACAGTAATTTGTTTTAAACTAAATAATACAATTCACACATTTGAAACATCTTTGAGAGCATGGCTCAACAATGAAAGACAAGCAGAAATGATATATACAAAAGGTAAAAATAGCCAAGACTCTATAAAAGTATTTTATATTAAAATATAAATAGTGTCACATTCTGTCAGTGGATATCAAAGTCATAGGTTATAATTAACAACAGATTTAAACTTTTAATGAACCTCGGATATGTTATATGACAAGCCTTGCAATCATTCTGGGCCATATTTACTGTGCTTGGTTTATATGACAAGCCTTACAATAATTTTTGGACCATATTTAGTGTGCTTGGTTTATATGAAATTGATTTTCTTTTAGAGGGAGTAAACTTTTCATGAAGTAGGGTATACGATAATAGCCGAGGTTCATATTGCACTGTTATTTTTTCACAATCCAGTCGTATTCTCTAGGGTATACGATAATAGCCGAGGTTCATATTACAAATGTTGCATAAAAAACAAAACGAAAGACTTTGTGAAACTAAATCCAAATGTAAAAAAAAATGTTTTAGAATTTAATAATAATTGTTTTTGAATTTTTTTGTAAAAAACAAACAAACTTGTTTTTACATGTGTTTTTTAATATATCGTGAATAATGCGGAATGAGAATACGACTGGATTGTGAAAAAATAACAATAACAGTGCAATATGAACCTCGGCTATTATCGTATACCCTAGAGAATACGACTGGATTGTGAAAAAATAACAGTGCAATATGAACCTCGGCTATTATGGTATACCCTAGAGAATACGACTGGATTGTGAAAAAATAACAGTACAATATGAACCTCGGCTATTATCGTATACCCTAGAGAATACGACTGGATTGTGAAAAAATAACAGTGCTTTTGTTGAATGACAAATTAGTGCAAGTTTATATCTTCTGTTGAATGACTTCTTAGAAGAAATGTTTCTTCTGCTGTATGATAATGTAGTACAAGGTTCTTGTAAGTTCACTCTTTGTAGGGCTATGTAAATAGATGTGTTTGTGGTATTATTATTATCCCTTTCTTACATTTATTTGTTTTATGTTGCTTCGTAGGAGGGTAGCCTAACAGAAGATTATACAATTTTTAAACATTTATTTCTCTAAGAACACTAATGTCAGTACAGTAATTTCATTTACAATTGAATGTCATGAACAACAAAGAAGAAGGAATGTGATATAAAGTTCTGCCTTTTATCCACTAGCAATCTGTTGATGAGAGCAAAGACAGTATTATTTGGTGTAGCAACTGCAAATTTCTATAGAAAAACAGAAAAAAATTGATTTTGAATCATCTTTTTTTTAAATATTTCAGTAATTACAAAATAAAATTAAAATATAAAAAAATTAGGACAGTTTGCTTAATGATGATTATTACACATTTCTGTAAATTAATTGCGGAGTACCTAAACATTGACATATGCCCCAAATTTTGTCCTTTTTGTAATACTTGTTTTGGATGTAAAAATAATCAGATATATCTTATAAATAATTTTTCAAAAATATTTATTTATAACTTCAATATATATTATTAATTTGTGTATTATGTTTATATATATATAAGCCACTATTTGTTGGTAATGCTCAAACTGCCTCAGTGGTTCGAGCTACTGAACCTCAAGCAGAAGTACAGTTATAATTGTTTTTGTATTGATAAGTGATCGCGTCTATAGCAAGCTCTTTCAATATTTGTAAAAACATGAACACCATGATATTTTGAATTAATATTTGTTAACATTGGATGTCAAAGTGGCTCAGTGGTTACAGTGCACAACTCTCATGTGGAAGTCTTGCATTCAAATCCTAGTCAACTTAGGATTTTAAATTAATTTAAAAAAATAAATGGTCATATTTATAGCAAGGTCTTTCAGTACTTTTATAGATTAAATCAGGGATTTGAGACATTGGTTAACATTCTAATTAAAAGATGACTTTACAGCATCAAGGTGCCTCAGCGTTTCATTCCATTTGAACACTTCTAACACCATATATGCAATAAATTCTAAACTAAAAATAGTTCAGAAACAGTGCAAGAAAGAAAACGTAGCTTAGCCAGAGAAAGAAAAAGTAGATGGATTGCATGACAAAACCAAGATTGTTTAGCAAAAATTAGGATAACTGAAGCAGAGGGAAAACAATAGACATGGTCAGATTATGTGAAAAAAAACAAAGTGATGTTGAAACACATCCAAACGGGTTCTGCGCCCTTATGTATTAGCCTTGCGATGAATGGGTACAACAGCTAGTTTAAGTTATATTACCATTTTGCAGCTACTGTTAAACTTATGTCCAGTTTGTTGAAGAACAAAAACCACAAATATGCAATTGCAGAGTTTTGTAATTATTTTAAATAATATGTTTTGTTTTTCTACATTGGCAGGCTGAAGGAATTTTGACTGAAGAAACCGAAAATTCGTTTGTATGTACTCAAGGTAATGCCAAATTTGTTGTGGGTTTATAGATTTGTATTTAGTATTTGTGAAAAAGCTACTGAGGCTATCTGCTGCTATCCCTAACTTTGAAATACTTACCAGAGGGTAGGCAGCCAATCAGTTGCATCATACACACACACCATACACCCAAACATGAGGTGTATGGAATATTTTGTTATTGTACCAATTGAAATAGTAGATTTAACATTAAAAAGAGTGATAGAAAGACTTAATTGAACATAATAAATAGTTTCTTGATTTGTTGTAAAAAGGAAAATCAAACTGTCTCTAAAATCTAAAATGCCGTCAGTAGTAAGTACTTAGCCATTGTTTCTTTAGGTACAGAACCAAATAAAAAACAAACAAACTAGTCACAGTTTTTATCAGTTCCGTTGTAATAATACAAAATTACCAGTTTTCACTATGATAATTCATAAAAATTGTATTAACAGTTTGACTTATTTGAAACTTGTTCTA